AGCCTCAGACTAACTACTGCGTACTGACTTGATGTTTACTTCTCTGAATTTATGAATTCTTCTGTTACTATATAAAATAATTAAATTAAAAAATTAGTTTTTTTTACAATTAAATAACAGTATATATTAAAGCTACTGTTAGTATTTATCTCCTCAAGAAACTAAGTTGGTAAAAATCCTTTCTTTAAAAAAATAACAAGAACTGTTTGTCGCTAGGTTTTATTAGTCTTAATTGGTGGAGAATGATCCCAAAGAAGAGTGTTTGTGAACTGAGCTGGCACGGGCTAATATGTTGGCAGGAAGGGAATTGGGAGCTCAAATCAAGGTTGACAAGAACGAAAAATGGGATAACTTATATCCGAATATTGATTCATATGAAATTGAATCTCAGTGACTAAACTCTTTATCCAACTATCAGTTATTTCATGTGCCGATAAAAAATCAATATAATTATAATTGATATATATATATTAAAAAATTTTGATATAAAACTCTTATATTTTATTTGAATAAATTTTATGATGATTCGTTAATATATAATATTGTATGGTAATAACATAATATGATAATAATAATATTATATTTAAAAAGATTGTGTATTAATATATGATAATGATAACTGTTTTATTTGAATTGATATAATGATATTGTTGTATATTTATTTAATTTATTATATATATTAATAAATAAATAAAATATTTATTTAATTTGTAATTCAGTAAATTCATTTATAAAATTATTTAAATTATAATTTTTAATGAATTTTTTTTTTAAAATAGTAAAAAAAATTTGTTATAAAAAATAAAAATTTAATTTTTTGATTGTGAATATAAAAATTTCTTTAAAACTTCAATTTTTCATTTCTTTCTTTACTTTTCTTTTCTATCTTTTATTTTTTTTTATTTAATTATATATACACACACACATATATATATATACACACGAACATAAAGAAAAAGAGATTTTCTTTGTTTGGTTTGTGGGAATTTCGTTGTGAAAACTTCTGTTTGTTTGATGCTGTAAGATTCTGAGAATTTTCTTACAATTTTCTGTTCCTGATTATGGATATTCTAATTCATGAAGCTCGTCAAGCTTCCGGGTTGTTTTTGAGCTCATCTCTTCTTTTTCTTCTTCTTATTCTTGTTCGTGTAATTTACAAACAGCATTTCTCGTCACAATTGGTATTAACAGTGCTTACGTATTGGGATATTCTAGGAACTGTTGTGGTGTCACTATGAGTTGGACAGGTGGTGTAGTCGATTTAATTTCGGAAGAAGATTTCGTAAAATCCTTGGAAAAAAAATTAATTTAAGATGGAACTGTTAATGTTTTGTTAATATTATTATTATATGTATATCATTAGAAAAATATTGGGTAAGACTTTTAACATATTTGTAGGCGAATGGTTCTCAAAATCTCAAGATTATTATGTGTATAAATGCACATATATATGTATATGTATATATATGTAATTAACAGAAAAAAAAAAAGAGAGGAGAGAGAGACGCGATTGTGAGAGGAAGGGAGAGGGGGGCCGAGCAGCATCGACGGCCGAGAGTGGAGAGTCGAGCGGTGTTGCGTGACACAACGATAGCGCAAAGGGGAGATGCAGACGGAAGAGGAAGTGAGAGAGAAGAGAAGTTCGGGTAGAAAGGAAAAAAGAAGAATAAGAAGAAGAAGAGATGAGACAAGAAGAAAAAAGCAGAGGAGTGTCTAAATGGAACTTCCCACGTATGGTGAGGGTATAAATGAAAAAAAACAAATATCTTACCATAAAAAAAATCACTGATAGGGTGATTTGCAAAATCTGTCAAAATGATAATTAAAATTACGATAAAATACCACCAAATAACCATACCATCTTTTTGCAAATTGATCAAAATAAGATAAAACCATAATATTATTATACCGTACGTTAATTACCCATCATCCAAACGAAACATTTGATAGTTATTAAGACAACATTCTAATTGATTGATATGAAGAATAACTATTATTTGTTAAAACTCTACTTGACATAGGATTATAGTTGTGTTGTTAAGAGAATCATAAATGATTTTCATACATTATCTCATTATCAAAACTTGGGTTATGAAATTTTTGTCATTATATAAAAATTACAAATATATTGATAACATGAATTTAATTTCTAGTAATTATACATCATCATTGTCATCTCTGTAGTTATTGTACATGTTATTATCTCGTTTACTATAACTATAATCATAATTATTATTGTTATTATCATCTCGTTTACTACTGTTAATATAATTATTATTGATAATGTGATTGTGATTCCATCATTATTTATTTGTAGTTATTATTTTTTACTGTGGTTGTCACTATTATTAGTATTATAATCACCACATAAGTTGTATTATTTATCAAGCATATAATTTTCCAAAAATCTTATCCATGTATAACTCATTTTCCTCACCTATGATAACCAACCCAATACCAAAAGTAGTTTAGATTTTAAAGTACACAAATTTAATCGTACTTTATAAAGGTAAGTTATCTACTTTTTTAGTAATTAAAATGGTTGAAAATATGAACCCAAATTGGTAAAGAAACTCCTGCCAGAAGCTGAAACCCTAAACTCCGTGTTTGAGATTTTTTAAGTAAGATTTAGGCCCAACTCAAGCTCCTCCATCTGAAGCAAGACTAAACCTTACGCAGCCCGGCCCGATTCTCGCCACTATGCTGCTTTACTTCGGACAAGTAAACCAAGGTTTTTTCACCTGCCAAGCACCTCATCTCACGGGGACACAACCCACCCGCCCTTCCCTCTTTCGTCTACCGCCCCAAATCGGCCATTTCTCCGGCCAACTAGAGTTTTCACGGTGATCCAAGGTCCCCATGTACAGAATCACAGCTTCCCGCCTCCAGGCTCTCAAGGTTAGTATCAATTTCTCAATCCCCGGACTGGAATCCCTTTCGATTCGGACGCGACTTTTACATTTACAATCCCGTGGTTTTCATTTAATCTCTCATTTATTTTTTCTTCTTTTTCCTTTTTTGACTTTCAGTGATTTTTGTTTTTTTGTGAGTTTAATGTTAGTTAATCGTTGTTATTTTCTGGGTGCTGATATAAAGCGATTAGCTTGAGTAGATATTATAATTTGGATAGGTTTTTGTTTTCTGGTTACAAAAGCTGATTTTTTACTCTCTAGGATATTCGATATGTTGCACGGTTTTCTGGTTGAGCTTTTTCTATGCCTAGAAAATAACGCATTCATTTGGTCGAAGATTGGATTGGTTATGAATAGTTTCCTTTGAAAGTTGTGATGTCAGAAAAGGCCTTCTCTTGAAGGCATTCTCGTGATGCATTTGAAAGTTGTGGAAATGCAGCTATTGAACAAAATCAGAATTGTATGTGTTCTTGCTCAGTTCTGGTTATGTAAATGTTGCCTATACTATATTTGTGTCCTCTTGTTTGTGTTGTACCTTCATGTAAGAAAGGTATTTGTTTGAATAAGGGGCCATGTGAAACTGCTACCCAGTCTCATTGTCAAGAAATAGCACGCAGAGGTTTGATATTCTGCTAAATGGATAAACCTGCATAAAAGTCATCCCTTTTGACGTTTTTTTTAGTAGAACTATTCATTTTGATCTGGTTGTATTTGAATGGTTCAGTTAGATAATTTAAAGATAAGTATATTTGTGTGTTTATTCTCTTTCACCTATATTATATGCAAAAACATCTGCAATGTTTTTGTCTTAGTATTACTCCCTGATTACTTATAATGAATGTCAATGTGCCACGTTCTAAGTCAATATGGAACTCTGAGAATAGGGCCGAACATGCGGTTGGGCACCTGCACGATTTGCAAGTTCTAGCACTCTTGCTAGAGAATCATCATCTACACGTGGTCTCTTCACATGGCTGACAGGGGAACATTCCAAATCTTTGTCTCCTCTGGGCTCCCCACTTTCGGATGTCATCCTTCCACCTCCACTGCCTGATTATGTTAAACCAGGGGAAACAAAAGTGACAACTCTTCCAAATGGTGTCAGAATTGCATCTGAGACCTCAGTGGTTAGCATGCGGTTTATCCTTTTTCTGACAACCTATGTCCTGCTTTAATTCCCTTTTTGCAGAAATTATTTTCTAGTTTGTTAATATAGTTTCTGCTTGGTTTTGTTTGAAAAAGCAGACTCCTACAGCTTCTATTGGCTTATATGTCGATTGTGGTTCAATCTATGAGTTGCCAGTCTCTTTTGGTGCATCACACTTGCTTGAGCGCATGGCTTTCAAGTCCACAACAAACAGAAGCCATTTGCGAATTGTCAGGGAAGTGGAGGCAATTGGTGGCTTGGTGCAAGCCTCAGCTTCACGGGAGCTGATGGGGTATACCTTTGATGCCCTGAAGACCTATGTTCCTGAGATGGTGGAGCTACTTATTGACTGTGTATGGAACCCTGCTTTCCTGGACTGGGAGGTCAACGAACAGGTAAGGAAAACTTAATGTATTTCCTAATGGTTTCTGTTGGGTGTTAAATTTAAATGCTCTAATAGAATATCTTTACCATCTGCAGCTTCAGAAAATGAAAGCCGACATTAGTGAATCTCTCAAAAACCCTCAAGGCTTGCTTTTGGAGGCAATACATTCTGCTGGTTATTCTGGTGCTCTGGCAAATCCTCTTCTAGCACCAGAATCTGCAATAAATAGATTAAACAGTTCAGTTTTGGAGGAATTTGTTGCTGTAAGGCTAGGCAAACTTTATACCTTAATCTGACATTTGTTTCTTTTATAGGTTGTCACTTTTTCCTTAATTTAATTTCTGTATGGATATTTGCTTTTACATTCTTACACTGAGATTTTGAAAATTTCAGGAAAACTACACTGCTCCTAGAATTATACTTGCAGCATCAGGTGTTGAACATGAGGAACTGTTATCTGTTGCAACACCTCTTCTGTCTGACCTGCCTGAAGTTCCTCATACTGAAGAACCAAAGTCTGTGTACACAGGAGGTGATTATCGTTGTCAAGCTGACTCAGGGGTATGTATCATAAATAGCCAGTGTAGAATGCATGTCTTTATATCATTGAGTATCCATTTTAAAATGTAGTCTCTGTAATTGTCTTGTCCATCTAGGGGTCTTAATTAAAGTATTCCCTTGTAGGAAGAGACTCATTTTGCTATTGCATTTGAACTTCCTGGTGGCTGGCACGAAGTGAAGGATGCTATGACTCTGACTGTTCTTCAGGTTCTTGATATTTGTTCTTTGTGACTACCACAAAATAAATTTCTTTCTTATTTTTATGAAGTGACTAGCACCTTGTTGTTGTTTGATAAATAGTAAAAAATATATGTAATTTTTATTTGGTTATGTTTTGCTGGTAAAGTGATTTAAGACGCATTAACATAATCTAATATTATTATAGATGCTAATGGGTGGAGGAGGATCGTTCTCAGCTGGTGGCCCTGGAAAAGGAATGTACTCAAGGCTATGTAAGTTGCTTTGAGCATACCAGAACTTGGTGACTGGGGTTGACAAACCAAGAATTGTTCCTTTTTGTTAATTTATCTGTAAAATTTACTATTTGATGGGATGTGTCCTTTGATGGGATATGTCCTTTGAAGAAGTTATGTGTTATTTGCCTTTTTTCTCCTTAGCCTTTGGATGAGAGACTTTTGCTGATCTGATGAACAGATCTTCGTGTCTTAACTGTGTATCCACAAGTGCAATCATTTTCAGCATTCAGCAACATCTACAACCATACTGGCATATTTGGTATTCAAGCTACCACTGTAAGCCACTACCCTATCTGTCTGCAATCTACATGAACGTGGCAACCAATATTTATCTATCATAGTGAAACCATCAAAATCTTTTAGTTTTGCAAATTGAAGGTTTATTCAACTAGTTAGAAATGGTTCGTTTTACACATACATTAGCCCTTTGTTTGCAAATGGACTATTTTTAATTTCTTTGAACTTTCATTTTTGTTAGTCTAATTTGATTCTCATTATGGTAATGCACCATTTCTTTTTCATTTAATTAGATACATTTTAGTGAAAAATTTACTCTTTTCTTTTATGTTCATTTCGTTGATGTGAACATGCACATGTATATATATATCTCCATTTTATCTTCTCAACACAGTTACTATCTGCCTTCGGTTTTTAGTTTCTATTTATATGGAAGGGAGAAAATGTATTTTGCTTGGGTCTTTTTTTTGTTTTTTTTTTTCTGTTTTTGGAGTTGAAGTGCTTCCCCTGGGCCTTGGGCCTTTAAGGGGAGTGGAACTCCTGTGTTTTGCTAAATTTATTCTGAGTTTTTTTGAATTATATCATAATATGCCCCTTTAGGATGCTTATGTTTCTGAATTCAGGATTCTGATTTTGTGTCGAAAGCTGTTGATTTGGCATGCCAAGAGCTTGAGTCACTTGCCACACCAGGACAAGGTTTTCTTTAGCATTTTCTTGGATGGGTATTAAGTGTTGTCATTATTCGATTGGTAGGAGCCTATTACTGATACTCTCTTGGTTCTCTGCTTTTTGCAGTTGACCCAAAAGAACTAGTCCGTGCTAAAAATGCAACAAAATCTGCCATTTTAATGAATTTGGAATCCAGGGTAATGATTTTTTAATATGTTGGTTTAAGTTACAATTTAGTTACCTGGTATTCTTTTACAAAAAAACATTGGCTAGGGACTGTTGCAATCTGTCAACAAAAATAATCTTACTCCAAACTTTTTTGTTCTTTGAATTGCATTCTTGTAGATTGTTGCTTCAGAAGACATTGGCAGGCAGGTTCTGACATATAATAAGAGGTATGACCTCAATACTGCTTTTTTCTTTTCCTTTTTAATTCAAATGAACTAACAGATGCTTGCTTGAGAGAACTATAAATCTACCAGGTTCTCCTCCCAAAAAAGTGCTCGTCTTGCATTTGTTCTATCACATGCTTCAGTTCTTGTGATATTCAAATTGGCAGGTTTAAAAAATCATCTATGTGACTGGTGCTTCTTGATTTTTAGATTACTACCAGGATTTTTTTTTTTTGTGGTGGGGAATGGGTGTAAAAATCAGTAAGGCAAGAAGGTCCTATCTGGTCCAAAGGGTTACCACTAGGAGCATAAGGATTCATGTAAATTGCTTTATATGACTTCTAAAAGGATCCTTTTGGTTAAATCACAGGGTAAAAAGCATTTGTGGTTATGCCCTTCACTTGCCATGCTGAGTAAAGTTCTGGAATTTGTCCAAGTACTCTCAATTTCAATTCCATAGGTGGCCAGGAATTAGCTTATAGTTGAAATGCGTATAAAGACTTAGCTAAAAGTGGGTAGCCAGTATAATTTTGACATTAGATTGAACAGCTTGATTTTCTGGTCTCATTGGTGAAATGCATGCATTTATGGTGTTGCATTATCTTCTTCGGTTAGGTCTTGAAATCTTCAGTAATCTTGGGATGCTTCAGATTATTTGACTTGTCTGATACGTGTCCAGAACATTTTCAAGTGCAATCCTGAGTTATCGCTAAGAACTTCAAGCAAATCTGATGAGATGGTTGAACTATCTTTGATAGTTTTAACCAACCAAAAAGAAAGGTTGTTCCTGGGCAGATGGATTACCTTTGCTAGTTTAGACGCTAACCTTGCCCTTGAGACTGGTTCTTAACTTGGATATGTGTTCTGTAGAAGCTAGGATTGTTATGAATACTCTTGTACTAATAGAAATCTCATCATTCCTTAGGAGTTCTGTGGATTTTTTCTTGGAGCTTATAGACAACATTAAGGCACAGGATATTTCTGCTGTTGCTCAAAGGCTTATATCTTCATCTCTGACAATGGCATCATACGGAAAGGGTACGATCAGATTTAGTTTTTGTTTTAAAATGATAAACCATTTCGTTTTGGTTAATTGACGGTTCTGGTTCTCATTAGCTCTCCTGACCGTTCACAGTTGTAAATGTCCCAAGCTATGATTCAGTCAGCAGAAAGTTCAAGTGAAGATGAGATTGCTTGCTTGTGCTTGTACCAAATTGGGCAGGCATCCAGTCTGTTGTGTGATTGCTGTGCGTCTCCAAAATAGGAGCTCTTTTTCTTTTCAACATCCACTTACAGTTGATAATAAGAAATGATGGCACGCCAATTTTACAAATAAATGAGATATACCTGCCAAGTTTGATATGCCTGATCGATGCTGAGTCAATTCCATATGGAAATAATGCTCTTGCACGGTTGTCGCCGTATTTTCTGATTTCTTTCACCCATGGGAAGAGAGGAGAAAGTTCATATTCTTTTTCTTTTTTTCATTTTACCTTTGGTTTAGTAATTACCGGAAGGGAAATCCGGCTAA